CCACGGTGCATGCTAGATTTAGAGTAAATGGCTGAGCCAGCATGTCACCTGTAGCTCAACAAGTGATTGGTAGATGCTTCATTGTGGGGGGGAGGGAGGAATCAAGAGTGCAGGTATCAGTCATTGGCTTGAACAACTTGCTATAGTCTGCTGCAAACTTGATGTATGTGTGCCACATAAACTATGCCTTGTCCATACACCTCAGCTACTCCTGCTTAGAAATGGCAGCACATACCTCTGTGTGGCCTCTTTCTGCTGACTTTGGCAAACCTGGAAGTCCTAGTGCATTCATGATTAGAGTCACTTATAAGGTCAATCTTTAAGAAACAGAAACAGAATAAGCAAAAGCTCTTGGCTACAGATAACTGTACTTATCTCCTCTGGTCTAACAGGATTCCCTTGTTTACCTAAGCAAGGCACACCAGACACTTCCGTGTCTTCAAAGACACAGATCAACCACACGAGCAACTGTGTAGCTTCTGATGCAAGAATCAGAATGGTCCTGTTAGCCCAGAATATATAGCCTTGCTAAAAGCCCACATACAGATTGAAACGAATATACAACAGCCATTATTTATTATCATAGACCCAATTATCACTTACATTATTATTCAAGTGTTGAATTACAACCCACAGTGGATTAGCATTGCAGCCAAAGAACCATTGCGTAAGCAGAGAAGTTACCATTTTCTTAATTTTTTTTTTAAAAAGATTTTTATTAAAATTTCAGAAAAAAGAGTTACATAAAAAACAAGAAAAGTAAAAGCAAAAGACAGAAATAAAAATACAAGAAAAATACAAAATACAAAATACAGAATAACAGAATAAAAAACACTTAAAAAAAATAGATCAATCTTTCCATGCCTTACATTCATATCCTTGTTTCCCTGACCTCCTCATACCTCCCTCTTTTGTATTCCAATTCAATTTGTTAATCCAACAATTCCTTCCCCTCCTTTTTAATCCTAATCCTCAATCTTGATATATTGTAACATTAGATTTTTACAAATTAAAGACCAATTTTTCCATATTCTTTTGTACCTATACAGCTAGAAACCACTTAACTTCAATCCAACATCATTCTAACATTCATTAATTTTGCAATATTTCTGTAAGTAGTCTTTAAATTTCTTCCAATCTTCTTCCACCGACTCTTCTCCCTGGTCACGGATTCTGCCAGTCATTTCTACCAATTCCATATAGTCCATTAATTTCATCTGCCATTCCTCCAGTGTGGGTAGATCTTGTGTCTTCCAATGTTTAGCGATAAGTATTCTTGCTGCCGTTGTAGCATACATAAAGAAAGTTCGATCCTTTTTTAACACCGATTGGCCGACTATGCCCAGGAGAAAGGCCTCTGGTTTCTTCAAGAAGGTATATTTAAATACCTTTTTTAGTTCATTATATATCATCTCCCAGAAAGCCTTAATCTTTGGGCACGTCCACCAAAGGTGAAAAAATGTACCTTCAGTTTCTTTACATTTCCAACATTTATTATCAGGCACATGATAGATTTTTGCAAGCTTGACTGGGGTTATGTACCACCTGTATATCATTTTCATAATATTTTCTCTTAAGGCATTACATGCCGTAAATTTCATACCTGTGGTCCACAACTGTTCCCAGTCAGCAAACATAATATTATGTCCAACATCTTGTGCCCATTTGATCATAGCAGATTTCACCGTTTCATCCTGAGTATTCCATTTCAACAGCAAGTTATACATCTTTGACAAAATTTTAGTTTTAGGTTCTAACAGTTCTGTTTCTAATTTTGATTTTTCCACCTGGAAGCCGATTTTCTTGTCCAAATTGTATGCCTCCATTATCTGATAATAATGAAGCCAGTCTCGCACTTTGTTTTTTAATTTCTCAAAACTCTGCAATTTCAGTCTATCTCCATCTTGTTCCAAACTTTCCCAATATTTCGGCCATTTGACCTCCATATTGAGCTTTTTCAAAGCTTTCGCTTCCATCGGTGACAGCCACCTTGGGGTTTTATTTTCCAATAAATCCTTATATCTTATCCAAACATTAAACAATGCTTTCCTGACAATATGGTTTTTAAATGCTTTATGTGCTTTGACCTTATCATACCACAGATATGCATGCCATCCAAATACATTGTTAAAACCTTCCAAATCCAAAATGTCAGTGTTTTCAAGAAGCAGCCATTCTTTCAACCAGCAAAAAGCTGCTGATTCATAATAAAGTTTGAGGTCTGGCAGGGCAAATCCACCTCTTTCCTTTGCATCTGTTAGTATTTTAAATTTTATTCTGGGCTTCTTGCCCTGCCAGACAAATCTAGAAATATCTCTCTGCCACCTCTTGAAACAGTCCATTTTGTCCACAATTTGCAATGTTTGAAACGAAAACAACATTCTAGGCAATACATTCATTTTAACCGCAGCAATACAGCCCAGCAGTGAAAGCTTCAAATTTGACCAAATTTCTAAATCTTTTTTCACTTCAGCCCAACATTTTTCATAATTATCTTTAAATAGGTTCCCATTTTTTGCTGTCAAGTTGATCCCCAAGTATTTAACTTTCTTAACCACTGTTAAACCTGTCTCATTCTGAAACCTCTCTCTCTCTATTGGTGTTAAGTTTTTCTCTAAAACCTTCGTTTTTACCTTATTCAATTTAAATCCTGCGACTTGACCAAATTCTTGAATCAATTCTAAAACCCTTTTAGTACTAGATTCTGGCTCCTGTAACGTCAGTACTAAGTCATCTGCAAATGCTCTCAATTTGTACTGTTTAGCTCCGACCTGTATACCTTTAACCAACTGGTCCCTTCTAATCATGTTCAGCAAAACCTCCAGGACCGAAATAAAAAGCAGTGGGGAAATTGGGCAACCTTGTCGTGTCCCTTTTTCTTAATTGGGCATTTTCTTAATTTTTTAAGTGAAGCATTTGCATTCAGTGAACAGTTGTAGAATTTTGCACTCCGGCAACTTCTGCAATATTTCAAGGGATTCTGAGGCACATCTCTGGGGTTGCACACTGAAGCCAATGCTGGAAGACACAAGGCAAACAGTGCCTCTTGGATGTTATCAACAACCCCATCATTCCCATCCCAGCACATCTCTGCACCATAAAATCTGTGGTGTCCTGTAAAAGGAGAAATATTGACAGAAAAGGAAGAAGTACAGATAGCTGACTTTTTAATTGCTATATAAGGATAAAAAAAGAAATTAATGTTTGCATCTTGCAAGTTAAATGTGCGTCTCCCATCTGAAAAATGCGAAAATCTCTCTGTTTTGCTATCCATTTATTATAACTCTTTCTATTTGCATGTGCATTTTCTTGCAGAGCCACAGTTTTCAAAGGAGCAAGAACTCTTTGCCAGTATTAACACCACTCGAGTAAGGTTGAACCTTATTGGCTGGAATGATGGTGGTTGCCCAATCACTTCCTTTACTCTGGAATACAGGCCCTTTGGCACCACAGTGTGGACCACAGCCCAGAGAACCTCTCTTACCAAATCATACATCGTGTACGATCTTCAGGAGGCAACCTGGTATGAGCTACAGATGAGGGTCTGTAACAGTGCCGGCTGTGCAGAGAAGCAGGCCAAATTTGCAACACTCAACTATGATGGGAGTAAGTGCATTCATTTAATTGCTGCCTAATGTAGAATGATCATAAATAATTTAATTTCACATAATTTAAGAGCCATTTAATTTTGTGTGCTGCAATATGGCATCTGTAGCAGCTAGAGGATAAAACAGTAAAGGTGTTTACAGTCTGAAATTCCATCTGCCTCTTGTCACGTGGAGGGGAGGGGGGATCACAAGGAGCTGTACAAATTTATGGCAGGCTTCTCTGATAGCCGCGCTTTCCAGTGAAATTACAGCTTGATTTGGCGCAATGTAGAAGGAGAAGGCTTCCCATTCAATCCATGTCTCCCACTGTGCCAGCAAACAAATCTGAGCAATTCACATTAATGCCATGACTGGGGTTCCACCTCACCCTTAAACCACCATAAATATTCGTTCTGGCACCAAGGATTGTCAGTCTTAGGAACTGGATCCAGCGCTTCTTTTGATACCCCAAAATCCAAATCAAAGTGCTTTCCTCTAGATCCCCTAAGATGTAAGAGAAATTATTTGTATTGTACTAGAATGTTTTATTTTTAATACACCCTTCATCTGAGGATCACAGAGTCATTTACTATATAAACACAAAAATACATACTATAGTAACTAATGAAAACAATAACACACACACACACCCCAGTTTAAAATTCCATTGATTATTTAATTAGCCAAAGGCCTGAGAGAGGAGGAATGTATTTGCCTGTTGCCTAAAGATATGTAACAAAGGCACCAAGGAAGCCTCCCTGGGGAATTTAAACTCAAGGCAGGGCTTGGAGAAGCTGGTACTAACTTTGGTCCCCAAAGCAATGCTATGTGGCCCCTGTCAACTTTATCACAATTTATTCCACAATATAGTGAAATGTTTGCCCGTAATTACACTCATAAGGAAAAGGAAGGTGTGTTGAGTTGTATGAGAGAGTGAACACTTTAATGTTACATCTCTTCTTGCAAACAGTTCAGGGGGAGCTCCCCCCCCCCCATGAAAATTATTAGGTGTCTAATTTTTTGTTTATTGTGAGTGAGTGAGTGAGTGGGAGAGAGAGAAAAATCATCCCGGATCTAGGGAAACAGGTTGTGTATGTTATATGCCCAGCAAATAACTGAGATCTCTTAGTATGATATTCAGTTCTTAGTCACCAGAGTTTTAGGGCTGACGTTCTTTTTTAAAGAGCAGTTTTCAAACTATGTACTCTGGAATTGTGTCGCTGATATCATTAGCCATTTTGTAGGAGTGGGGATGTGCTTGTGTCCCCTGAAATGATCCAGTTCCTGATAGGAACCCAGGAGCAGGAATAACCTAACTGGAGCCCTCAGGACGAGAGGTAGGGCTGAATCCAGTAAGGGAATGGGCACAGGCGCCAACTTCCTCTCCTACATAATGGCTGGTATGCAGCAATAATCTCTCTCTCTCTCTCTCTCTCTCTCTCTCTCTCTCTCTCTCGGACAGGGAGAGAGGAGAGAGAGAGAGAGAGAGAGAAGGAATGGAGGAGAGATTATTCCATCAACATTACCAGCAGCAGTCACAGAAGAAAGGGTTATGCCCCAAAATTACTCGTATTGTAATGTTCTAAACACTTCATTATACATTGCTTTGGTTGTTTTATAGGGAAGCTACTACAGACTTTATATAATAAGATAGGAATAAACCATATTATTACATTCAATTTACAATTTCTGATCTTGACAACACTTGTTTAGTTCAAATGTGTTGAAGGATCTGCTTGCAAGACTAAATATGAAACAGGGGACAGTTTAAATTTAGATTATCTACCTTGAAAAGAATAAGATGATATGCAAAGAGGTTCAGGTTTTGTTATTAACTAGTAGAGGAGCCATTTTGCAAGGTGTTTTGACACAAGCTGATAGGCTTCGTTCTCTTAACTAGTGGTGGCAATGAATTTTGAGAAAGCAGGGGGCCTTCAGAACTGGAAATTTGTCAAGCCATTTCAGACAGTCCAACATTACAATCACCTTTTGATGTTTGGCTCAGCTGATAGTGGCCTGGTGTTAGCCCTCTACTCCTGTCCTGCACTTCCAAATTGTCATTGGGGATGGGATGGAAATGGTGGCTGGAAGTCAGAATCTGCATTCCCAGTGGGAACTCTGGGAACTGTACTCCCCTTGTTCAGTGAAGCAGGAGGAACTAATACAAAAAAACAACCACCTACAGTTCCCAGAGTTCTCATTGGTAATGCAGATTCTAAGCAAATCCAGAAGCCTTCATAGCAGAGAGTCAGGTTCTTGGGCAACTTCTCAATTGCCATTTTTCATCCCTTTTTATTCTCACCTTGGTAACTCCAGGGAAGGGTGGGACTTAGTAATATCACTGAAACTCACATTTCCTGGCCCAGGAATATAAATCTCAGGAGCTTGCCATGCTCTCATCAGATAGAAGAGCTGAGCATTACAAGCCAAGAATTGTCCTCTGGCATGAAATTTAATTGGTTTGATTGAAGGGTGCACATTTTTCACTTTGCATCTGTTGGAAGAGAACTTATAAAGAAGAGCAACATTATTTCAAGGCAATTAACATTTCCTAGTTTGCCTCTTCACTAGAAGTGGTAGAGTTGACAGGTGTGCCTTAAAATAGCCCATAAAAAGTTAGTGTGATGAAGCTTTCCTAATTAATCAAACCTCTTACAGGTGAGCTTCTGTACACCGTAGTCACTTAAAAACCAACCTTTTCTCTTCATTGATAGGCATCTAATGTCATGACACTGTTTCCAGGTACAATCCCTCCACTCATTAAATCAGTTGTCCAAAGTGAGGAAGGTCTGGCAACCAATGAAGGGCTAAAGATGCTGGTGACCATTTCCTGTATCTTGGTTGGGGTCTTGCTGCTTTTTGTGCTTCTGCTGGTTGTGAGAAGGAGGAGGAGGGAACAGAGACTGAAGAGACTCAGAGGTAAGAATGGACACCCATTACTCGCTTACATGTATTTTGGTCACCTCACCGAGAATGTCTAGCTGAGATTGTATATATAGATTAAGGAGATGTCAGAAGCTTGTAACAAGTAGTGTCCATTTTGTATGTTACAGCAGCAGTATCACTGCTGCTTCTATGCAGCTCCATCTAACTGCACTATGGTAACATTTTTGAGAAGAAGATTGCGTTTCAGTGAAGCGTACAATGTGAATATTTCCCATATGGTGTGAGCCCCCAGTTTTGTCAGGGGAGTGTGACAGAACAGGGATGGCTAGCCTGTGGTCCTCCAGTTGCTCTAGGACTCCAGATCCCAGCATCCCTGATTCTCAGCCATGCTAGCTGGGGCTGGTAAGAAATGGAGTCCAACAACTTCTGAATGGCCACAGGTTGGCCACCACTTGAGTAGTCATGCAGAGCAACGTTCAGACCATTTCTGTAATGTAAGAAGCACCCTGTAGTACCCAGTTTACCTGGTTAAAATAAGCATCAACACATTGATTTGCTGCACTGCGGTACATACTTGTTTCAATGGAGATCGAACTCTCCTTGTCTCCAAATCCCTTTTCAGTTGACAGGCTCACACTTTTCTGAATGTGTGACTGGGACTGTGCTGTGTACCCATGCCATTTAATTTGTGTGCCCTGCCAACTCTGCCCTGAACATCTGCATGTTTCAGCACAATGATCTGCAAAAGAGAGCCTAGAGCGCACAGCAGTATGTCCTTTATGTTTACAAAGAGAAAAATAACGGGCAGGTATTTTTTGAAGTTTAGAGATTGGTGAATTTTGTTTTCTTTGCAATACAGTGGTGCCTCGCAAGACGAAATTAATTCGTTCCGCAAGTCTCTTCGTCTTGCGAGTTTTTCGTCTTGCGATGCACGGTTTCCCATAGGAATGCATTGAAAATCAATTAATGCGTTCCTAGGCAACCGCCTTCAGACCAGGTCCGGGGACAGTCTGTCCCCGGACCTCTTCTGAAGGCTGGGGGGGGGGCAAGGGCTTTTCTTCCCACCCCCAGCATTTTAAGATCGCCCGGACAGCGGAGAAGTCCTCCGCTGTCCCGGGGTTTTTTAAAATGCTGGCGGGCGGCATTTAAAATCACCCGGGACAGCGGAGGACTTCTCCGCTGTCCGGGGCAATTAAAGCCCCTGGGAAGGCAGGCAGGGGGACAAAGACTTTCGCCCCCGCCAGCCTTCAGAAGAGGTCCTGGACCTCTTCTGAAGGCGGGCGGGGGCGAAGTCTTGCTCCCCCGCCTTCAAAAGCCCTCCCGGGACAGGCAGGCAGGGGAGCAAAGACTTTCGCCCCCGCCCGCCTTCAGAAGGTCTTCCCTCCCCCGCCCGGCCGGAGCACCGTTCCGAGCCGGGCGGCGGCGGAGGTGTTCCCTCCCCCGCCCGGCTCGGAGCACCGTTCCCGAAGCCGGGCGGCGGGGAGGTCTTCCCTCCCCACCGCCCGGCCCGGGCACCGTTCCGAGCCGGGCGGCGGGAGGTCTTCCCTCCCCACCGCCCGGCTCGGAGCACCGTTCCGAGCCGGGCGGCGGAGAGGTCTTCCCTCCCCCCGCCCGGCCGGAGCACCGTTCCGAGCCGGGCGGCGGCGGCAGGTGTTCCCTCCCCCCGCCCGGCCCGGAGCACCGTTCCAGGCCGGGCGGCGGCGGAGGTCTTCCTCCCCACCGCCCGGCCGGAGCACCGTTCCGAGCCGGGCGGCGGCGGAGGTCTTCCCTCCCCCCGCCCGGCCGGAGCACCGTTCCGAGCCGGGCGGCGGCGGCTAGGTGTTCCCTCCCCCCGCCCGGCCCGGGCACCGTTCCGAAGCCGGGCAGAGGCGGAGGTCTTCCCTCCCACCGCCCGGCTCGGGCACCGTTCCGAGGCCGGGCAGAGCGGAGGTCTTCCCTCCCCCGCCCGGCCGGAGCACCGTTCCGAGCCGGGCGGCGGCGGCAGGTGTTCCCTCCCCGCCCGGCCGGAGGAGCCTTCCGAAGCCCGGCGGCGGCGGGAGGAGGTGTCCCCGCCCCGCCGCCAGGCTTCGGAGGAGGTCCGAGGACAGTGGGGAAGACGCGCTGCGCTTCCCGCTGTCCCTGAGATTTCCCTATGGGCTGTCGTCTTGCGAAGCAAGCCCATAGGGAAATTCGTTTTGCGAAGCGCCTCCAAAACGGAAAACCCTTTCGTCTAGCGGGTTTTCCGTCTTGCGAGGCGTTCGTCTTGCGGGGTACCACTGTATCAGATATTTTACTATTGGAGATCTTGTTTGTTTGTTTTCGTCATAAGAATGAGGTACTACCTATCAATAATGCAGTTGTACATAATTCCCACTCTGTCTCCAACTGTTGTTTCTTAAGTTTCAAAGACAACAAAAGCAGTGATGTTGAAACAACCACCTTTATGCTGCTGTTACATTAACTTGGACAATGGTTTTTGTTTTTGTTTTTTGGGGGACACTGACATCTCTCATTTGCTAACTTGTTAAGGATATCAGAAGTGTTTGATATGGATTCATAAAGCAGGAAGTAATCCCAGGAGGAAATGGTTAAGGAACAGAAAATTTTCAAATACGGGGGTGGGGGGATTCAGATAAATTGCATGCTGTATGCTTCAGAAAGTATCTAATTTTTACAAACATGATAAATTAGTACAAAGATGAAGCAAATTCAGCAACTGATGTGTGACAGTAGCCATTTTCAGGATATATATTGTTTGTTTTCATATCAGATTTTTTTGTCACAAGCATGCTACTATGTTACTATAAAATTGATCACAAATTCTGAATAAGTTGCATTATATATTTTCTAATATGCACTCATTATTTATTTGTTCCAAATTATTTCCTGTTTCTCTTTATTAAAAATATTCCTTGGCAAGTAGTAGTGGTGTTGGTAGTAGTAACAATAATACTTAAGCATAATAATATAAGCTCCAGAACTGAAAAGACCCCAATCTATGTATTCATCCACCAAGCTTCAGTCAGGAGAAAGGAATTTGGAGAGGGACCTAAGAAGTTTATCAGAGTTCATGGGAGAAGGTGGTTCATAAAGTACTCAGCCCCCAAATTGTTGAGGACTTTTAGGCAGAGGTGGGGGGCTTGTGGTCCTCCTGATGTCTTTGACTACAACCATTGGTCATGCTGGCTAGAGAAGATGGGAGTTGGAGTCCAAGAGCAACTGGAGGACTGCAGGTTTCCCACCCCTGCTTTAAGGTAAGAACCAGTACCTTCAATTGAGTCTGGAAATCAATAGATAACCAACATAAACCATACAGAACTAGAATAATACACTTTGTCTGGTTGGCCCCAGACAAAAACGCTAATGCTTTTTTTTACTATGTGAAGGCTCCATGTGGTTTTCCAGGCCAGCTCCACATAAAGCATATTACAATAGAATCTAGAGGTTCTACAGCATTGAGTAGGCATGGCCAAGTCAGTCTTTGCCAGTAAAGGGCATGACATCCAGCTGAAGCTGGTAATCATGTGGCCACGTTGTCATCCAGAAGAAATGAAAGAGTGAGGTGCAGACCCAAACTGAAAACCTTTGACTTCAGGGGAAGTGCAACCCCGTACAATCAAGGCTGTATAT